GTGTGTGTGTGTGGGTGTGTGTGTGTGTGTGGTGTGAGTGTGTGTGTGTGGGTGTGTGTGTGTGTGTGGTGTGAGTGTGTGTGTGTGGTGTGAGTGGTGTGTGTGTGGTGTGTGGTGTGTGTGGTGTGTGTGTGTGTGTGGGGTGTGTGTGTGGGGTGTGTGTGTGTGGTGGTGTGTGTGTGGGTTGTGGTGGTGTGTGTGTGTGTGTGTGGTGTGTGTGTGTGAGTGGTGTACTCACCTAGTTGTACTCACCTAGTTGAGGTTGCAGGGGTCGAGTCCAAGCTCCTGGCCCCGCCTCTTCACTGGTCACTACTAGGTCACTCTCCCTGAACCATGAGCTTTATCGTACCTCTGCTTAAAGCTATGTATGGATCCTGACTCCACTACATCGCTTCCCAAACCATTCCACTTACTGACTACTCTGTGGCTGAAGAAATACTTCCTAACATCCCTTTGATTCATCTGTGTCTTCAACTTCCAACTGTGTCCCCTTGTTACTGTGTCCAGTCTCTGGAACATCCTGTCTTGTCCACCTTGTCAATTCCTCTCAGTATTTTGTAAGTCGTTATCATGTCCCCCCTATCTCTCCTGTCCTTCAGTGTCGTCAGGTTGATTTCCCTTAACCTCTCCTCGTAGGACATACCTCTTAGCTCTGGGACTGGTCTTGTTGCAAACCTTTGCACTTTCTCTAGTTTCTTTACATGCTTGGCTAGGTGTGGGTTCCAAACTGGTGCCGCATACTCCAATATGGACCTAACGTACACGGTGTATAGGGTCCTGAACGATTCCTTATTAAGATGTCAGAATGCTGTTCTGAGGTTTGCCAGGCGCCCATATGCTGCCGCAGTTATCTGGTTGATGTGCGCTTCAGGAGATGTGCCTGGTGTTATACTCACCCCAAGATGTTTTTCCTTGAGTGATGTTTGTAGTCTCTGACCCCCTAGACTGTACTCCATCTGCAGTCTTCTTTGCCCTTCCCCAATCCTCATGACTTTGCACTTGGTGGGACTGAACTCCAGGAGCCAGTTGCTGGACCAGGTCTGCAGCCTGTCCAGACCCCTTTGTATTTCTGCCTGGTCTTCAATCGAATGAACTCTTCTCATCAACTTCACGTCATCTGCAAACAGTGACACCTCGGAGTTTATTCCTTCCGTCATGTCGTTCACAAATACCAGAAACAGCACTGGTCCTAGGACTGACCCCTGTGGGACCCCACTGGTCACAGGTGCCCACTCTGACACCTCACCTCGTACCATTACTCGCTGCTGTCTTCCTGACAAGTATTCCCTGATCCATTGCAGTGCCTTCCCTGTTATTCCTGCTTGGTCCTCCAGTTTTTGCACTAATCTCTTGTGTGGTACTGTGTCAAACCCCTTCTTGCTGTCTAAGAAAATGCAATCCACCCACCCCTCTCTCTCTTCTCTTACTGCTGTCACCATGTCATAGAACTCCAGTAGGTTTGTGACACAGGATTTCCCGTCTCTGAAACCATATTGTCTGCTGTTCCACCATTCTTCTCCTGACAATCTTTTCCATGATTTTGCATGCTATACATGTCAGTGACACTGGTCTGTAGTTTAGTGCTTCATGTCTGTCTCCTTTTTTAAAGATTGGTACCACATTTGCTGTCTTCCATGCCTCAGGCAATCTCCCTGTTTCGATAGATGTATTGAATATTGTTGTTAGGGATACACATAGCGCCTCTGCTCCCTCTCTCAGGACCCATGGAGAGATGTTATCTGGCCCCATTGCCTTTGAGGTATCTAGCTCACTCAGAAGCCTCTTCACTTCTTCCTCGGTTGTGTGTACTGTGTCCAGCACATGGTGGTGTACCCCACCTCTCCGTCTTTCTGGAGCCCCTTCTGTCTCCTCTGTGAACACTTCTTTGAATCTCTTGGTGAGTTCCTCACATACTTCACTGTCATTTCTTGTTGTCTCTCCTCCTTCCTTCCTTAGCCTGATTACCTGGTCTTTGATGGTTGATTTTTTCCCTGATGTGGCTGTATAACAGCTTCGGGTCAGATTTGGCTTTTGCTGCTATGTCGTTTTCATATTGACGTTGGGCCTCCCTTCTTATCTGTGCATATTCGTTTCTGGCTCTACAACTGCTCTCCTTATTCTCCTGGGTCCTTTGCCTTCTATATTTCTTCCATTCCTAGCACACTGGTTTTTGCCTCCTTGCATCTTTGAGTGAACCATGGGCTCATCTGGCTTTTTCATTATTCTGTTACCCTTGGGTACAAACCTCTCCTCAGCCTCCTTGCACATTGTGACTACATATTCCATCATCTCATTAACTGGTTTCCCTGCCAGTTCTCTGTCCCACTGAACCTCATTCAGGAAGTTCCTCATTCCTTGTGTAGTCCCTTTCCTGTAGTTTGGTTTCATTCGTCCTGGCCTTCCTGCTTCCCCCTCCATTTGTAGCTCTACTGTGTATTCGAAGCTCAAAACCACATGATCGCTGGCCCCAAGGGGTCTTTCATATGTGATGTCCTCAATATTGCACTACTCAAGGTGAATACTAAGTCCAGTCTTGCTGGTTCATCCTCTCCTCTCTCTCTTGTAGTGTCCCTTACATGTTGGTACATGAAGTTTTCCAGTACCACCTCCATCATCTTAGCCCTCCATGTATCTTGGCCCCCATGTGGCTCCAAGTTCTCCCATTCGATCTCCTTGTCGTTAAAGTCGCCCATGATCAGGAGCTTTGCCCTGCATGTATGAGCTCTTCTGGCCACTGCAGCCAGTGTGTCAACCATCGCTCTATTGCTCTCGTCATACTCTTGCCTTGGCCTCCTGCTGTTCTGTGGTGGGTTATACATCACTGCAATTATCACCTTGGGACCTCCAGAGTGAAGCGTTCCCGCTATGCAATCACTTTCTTCTCCACTGTCTCCTCTCTCCAGCTCATCAAAATTCCATCGGTGTTTGATCAGCAATGCCACTCCTCCCCCCCCTGTTCCTTCTGTCTTTCCTCAGGATCTGGTACCCCGTTGGGAAGATGGCATCTGTTATCATACCTGTAAGCTTGGTTTCTGTGATTGCTATGATGTCTGGTGATGCCTCTTTGACTCTTTCGTGCCACTCCTCCCACTTGTTTGTTATTCCATCAGCGTTTGTGTACCATACCTTCAGTTTCCTTTCCAACACTGTGGTTTGGGGGGCCTGTGGGGGTGGGAGACCTGGTAGCATACTGTGGGATTCTATGGTTGGGGGTTGGGTGGAAGCTGTGGGTATGGATTGTATTGTGTGTTGGGATGGTGTGATAGGTTGTGGGGTTCTGAGGATAGTTGTGTGTGCTTGCTCTTGCTGCTCTGTTCTGCTCTGACTGACCTCTGCTGGTTCCATCCTTGTCTCCTTTCCTAGCTCCTTTCGCTTTTTTGTCCTCTCCCTCATACATATGAAAGAATGGGTCTATATGGTCAGTGTGCGCAGTATAAAAAAATCCTGCAGCAAACAGTGCGTAATGAGAAAAAAAAACTTTGACCGTGTTTTTGGATTAAAACAGCGACTTTGTACTGTATTTTGTATGGTATTTATTGTATTCTAGTTTTCTTGGTCTCATTTTATAGAATGGAAGATATATTACAGAAATTGAGATGATTTTGACTGGTTTTACAATGAAAAGTACCTTGAAATTGAGCTCAAAGTAGCAGAAATGTTCAATTTTTACCAAAGTTCAAAAGTAAACAAAGCATGCGAAGCGTCCAATACACATCAACTGGTGAGTCTAATATTCTTTCACTAGACTAATATTCTTTCACTGGACCCTATTCGGAAATTGGCATCTTTTGAAATTTGTGTGAAATTGGCCAAATTGCTAAATTCTGACCACTTTATTGGATAGTTGAAATCGGTAAATGGGTGGTTTCTTGTACTCATTCAATAGAAAAAATGGAGTTCTAGCAAAATAGTTATGATTTTTGTCGACTAGTACATTGGAATTGGCTGAAAATAGGGCTCAAAGTGGGCAAAATCGCTGATGCATAAACATCGTCGAGACCGCTAACTTCGCGAGAGCATAATTCCATAAGTTTTCCATTAAATTTCATACTTTTGGTGTCATTATGATCGGGAAAAGTTTCTCTATCTTTTCATAAAATAATTTTTTTTTTTTTTTAAATTTGGCAACCCTGAGAACAAGTCTCTGAGAGGGCCTGGCGAACCACAAAGGGTTAATAGTGTGCAGATGTATGCCAAGTTAAAGAACTTTTGAGTTGATTTGTGTTTAACCATGGTGCCACAAAACAAGGAGGTTCACACTAAGCTTTTACAACAAGTGGTAGATAATGTGTTTACACAAGACAAATATGTCATATATAGGCAGGTCCTGCTTTACAGCATTTTGCTAATACAGCAGTTTTTCAATTTTACTGATTCTTTGTTTATTCAGACTTCCTACAATAAATATATTCACCACTCACTACAAGCTAAGGATAAAAAATAATTTAAGGTAAGTAATATGTACTGTATATGCATTTTTAGGCCTAGTTATACTGCTTACTTAATATATGATAGTATAAACATATTATTAGGCTTTTTTTATATGCATTTGAAAGTGAAAAAAGGCTATGATTCACTTTACAGTAATTTTCACTTTACAGCCCAAAATCTAACCTGCTGTATAAGTGGGGCTCCACCTGTAGGTCTACCAGTGCAGAAGTAACAAAGCATACATCATACATCTTAAGCTTAAATCACAGACCCCAGACATTAGAATATACAATACGGTAAAACAAAACTCATGAATAGATGAAATTGCAGATACTGGGAAACTGTAATACAATACCAATAAAATATAGCATAAACTCTTAAAGAGATAAAAACATGATGCATGCATTACCAAAAAAAATATTTTCAAAGAAGGAACAAAGACCAAGAATAATAATGACTGGAAGACTATACATACAAACTCAGAACTTATTTGTCTTTTTTTTTTTTTTTTTTGCAAAAGAAAATTGTGAATAACTAAAAAGTGCCCATGTAGGTATTCTTGAACTTACCAAGTCTTTCCCAACTGTCTTCTGTGCTCATCATCACCAACTGTGTGCGGTAATAGTTGGGAGGAGCTAGCCCCAACCACTGTTGTTGGCAGAAGTTGAAGAAGTGGACATATGTGTTGTCTGGGATTACAATTTTTACAGAAAGAACTCCCTGATGATCACCACGATTCATAGCCAACATCTGGGATCACAAGATAAAACATAAGACAGTCACTCAACAAGAAATTCAGCTTACAATACAAAATTCTTAAACTTTTGTAAATATTAGACATTATTTAAGCATTACAGTACTTGATTAAGATTACTATATACTCATACACAGGTTTCTCTTCAAATAAATATAATATTCTATAAAAATATAACTTAGACAAAAAACTGCATGGTGGCCTGGTGGTTAACGCTCTCGCTTCACACGGTGAGGGCCTGGGTTCGATTCCCAGCCAGAGTAGAAATATTGGACGTGTTTCTTTCCACCTGTTGTCTATGTTCCCCATCAGTAAAATGGGTACCTGGGTGTTAGTCGACTGGTGTGGGTCGCATCCTGGGACACTGACCTAAGGAGGCCTGGTCACAGACCGGGCCGCGGGGGCGTTGACCCCCGGAACTCTCTCCAGATAAACTCCAGATAAACCCTTTAACTGTCAAACCATTGACTTATGCATTACTGCTAGCACCCCAGATGTTACTTTAATTTAATTTAATTAATATCTCCATTTCTTATAGGTATATAGATAGTAGTACCTCCCACCCAGGGAGGTACTACCGTCCTGCCAAGTTGAGTATAAAACGAAAGCCTGTAATTGTTTTACATGATGGTAGGATTGCTGGTGTCCTTTTTTCTGTCTCATAAACATGCAAGATTTCAGGTACGTCTTGCTACTTCTACTTACACTTAGGTCACACTACACATACATGTACAGGCATATATATACACACCCCTCTGGGTTTTCTTCTATTTCCTTTCTAGTTCTTGTTCTTGTTTATTTCCTCTTATCTCCATGGAGAAGTGGAACAGAATTCTTCCTTCATAAGCCATGCATGTTGTAAGAGGCGACTAAATTGCCGGGAGCAAGGGGCTAGTAACCCCTTCTCCCATATAAATTACTAAATTTAAAAAGAGAAACTTTCATTTTTCTTTTTGGGCCACCCTGCCTTGGTGGGATACGGGCGGTTTCTTGAAAGAAAGATCTCTATTTCTACAAGTACAGTGGAACCTCAAAAATCGAACTGCTCCCAACACAACCAATTATGTAAGTGTATTTTTGTAAGTGCTTTTATAAATGTATTTTTGAGGGTCTGAAATGGACTAACCTAATTTACATTATTCCTCATGGGAATAAATTTATTCGGTAATGGCACTCAAACAGCCTTCTGGACCAAAGAAAGTTCGATATTTGAGGTTCCACTGTACATGTACAAGGTATACGGGCCTAAGTGATATCAGTAACATACTACTATATAGAAAGCCCCTTGTTATGCAAAGCATTTCGGGCCAATTAGTCAATTTTGTCCCAGGATGCAACCTACACCAGTCGACTAATTTTACTGATAAGTGAACACAGACAGCAGGTGCGTTAAGGAAACACATCCTAGTGTTTCCAACATACTATCCTTCCCGCATTCAAATTTGGCACCCGAGGCCTCATATGCCTAGGGAGTATAGAATGGGTCTTAACTCAAGTGTGAGGAGTATTAAAAAAACTGGGACCACTTAGTACCTATTGGGAGCACCAGTTCAACTTGGCCCCAGCTAGAGCAAACAGCATGGCAAACCCAGGGATTCACTAATGCCATGTTGTATTAACATGGGCAGGCTGGCTGGCTGGCTCGCTGGCTGGCTCCCTGCCTGGCTCCCTGCCTGGCTGCCTGCCTCGCTGCCTGCCTGGTTGGCTGGCTGCCTGCCACTCTCTCTCTCTCTCTCTCTCTTTCTCTCCCTCCCTCTCTCTCTCTCTCTCTCTCTCTCTTCTCTCTCTCTCTCTCTCTCTCTCTCTCTCTCTCTCTCACTCTCACTCTCTCACTCACTCTCTCTCTCACTTTCACTCACACTCTCACTCTCTCACTCTCTCTCTCTCTCTCTCTCTCTCTCTCTCTCTCTCTCTCTCTCACTCTCTCTCACTCTCTCTCTCTCTCTCTCACTCTCACTCTCTCTCACTCTCTCTCACTCTCTCTCACTCTCTCTCACTCTCTCTCACTCTCTCTCACTCTCACTCTCACTCTCTCTCACTCACTCTCACTCTCACTCTCTCACTTTTTTGTTTTTTTTTACACAGGGTTTGACAAGGTTAAGGATCCCTAGCTTTATTGACAAGCTATTTACAGGTTAAGGATTCCTAACTTTATTGGCAAGCTAAGAGCTGTTACCTACATCAGCTCATTTGAAAGCATTTTTATTGTTATGAGACATACAAGTAGGGAACAGGATGAAGTTGGAGCCATCTGTGGGCCAGCATTTTCATTTGATCAACTGACTTTATCTTGTTGACATCATTATGCTGTGCAAATGTGTTCCATACTCGAGTCATCCTGGGTATATAGGATCTCAGATGGAGTGAAGTTCTGGAGAAGGGTACAGCCAGAGTGAAGTTGCTGCTTTCTGCCCATCTTGTGGCATAAAAGCTTGTTTCACGCTGTCCTCGAAGTGGATCCAAGTGTGGTACTTTGACAATATTGGCCTTGTACATAACAGTAAGGCCACCCACATCCCTCCTGTGTTGAAGGCTCTGCTGAAATGACAGATCTATCCAGGATGGGTCCAGGCGAGAGATGAGACGTCTTGCTCTGTTCTCTACTCTGTCAAGCAGTCGCAGATGAGAGGGGGGGCAGGCAAACCAAGAAAGTGGAGCATACTCAAGGTGTGAGCGTACTTGTGCCTCGTACAGAATCTTGCAACCCCTACTGTCAAGCAGATGCGAGATACAGCGAAATGCTGTAAGCTTCCTGGCTGCCTTGTTTGCAAGATTTACAACATGGTTCTTCATGGTTAGTTTGGAGTCAAATTTCACCCCAAGGATATCAACTTCTTCTCCAGGTGCCAACACCCTCCCATTCATCCTTACTACTGCACCAGCATTACCATCATGGTGCCTAGAGACAATCATCATTTGCATTTTCTCAGGTGTAAATGTTACTTGCCATCTATTTCCCCAAGCTGATATAGCTCTTAGCTGGTGACTGATGTAGCTTAGAGCAGCTGGCATTTCTTCTCTTGGATAAGTGAATGTCAGTGTACAGTCATCTGCATATGCATGTGATTCTGGGATGAGATGAAGAAGGTCGTTGAAGTAGACATTCCATAACAATGGTCCCAGCACACTTCCTTGTGGAACACTTGCCCCAATAGGATGTCTTGCTGATTCCGTGCCATTGAAAACTACACTTATAGATCTACCATGAAGGTAATCACTGAGGAGACATAGCATAGAGCCTGCAATTCCCAGTGCTTGAAGTTTTGCTAAGAGGCCCTGGTGCCACACCCGGTCGAAAGCGCCAGCAATGTCCAGTGCTACCACACAGCTGACTTTGGATTCATCCAGTGACGGGTGCCACTTAGTGGAGAGGTTTAACAACAGATCAGCAGCAGAGTAACCTTTCCTGAAGCCATATTGACGATCACAAAGTAGTGAGTGGTAATCAAAAAACTCTGTCATTTGTCTTGAGATTATTGTCTCAAGGATCTTACCAGTGATTGACAAGAGTGACACTGGTCTGTAGTTGCTGATTTCTGCTCTGCTCTTCTTTTTGTGAACAGGGACTACATTTGCCTCTTTCCATAGAGAGGGCCATTTACACTGTACTAGGCAGTGCTGAAAGATGCGAGTTAGAGGTGCTGCTAGCTGGTCTGCACATCTTCTCAACAATCTTGGGCTCAACTTGTCTGGGCCCACAGCCTTTTCTTGGTCCAGCAATTTAAGAAGGAAATGCACCTCCTCCTGCCTTATTGTCTCCACTGACAGTTTTGACACAGCTCTTGCAGCTAGCCTCTCTCTCTCTCTCTCCCTCTCTCTCTCTCCCTCCCTCCCTCTCTCTCCCTCTCTCTCTCTCTCTCTCTCCCTCCTCTCTCTCCTCTCTCTCTCCCTCTCTCTCCCTCTCTCTCTCCCTCTCTCTCCCTCTCTCTCTCCCCCTCCCTCTCCTCTCTCTCTCTCTCTCTCTCTCTCTCTCTCTCTCTCTCTCTCTCAGCAAGATGCTCATGAAGCAGATCATCACCTAGACAAACAGGTATTACACATATATCAGAATGATCACAGCTGTACAACTGTGGCCAAAATATATATTCTTTGTCACAGCCATGGATATGCTTCATAGTATCTACAAGCACAGTACAGCACTTCATCTGATTTTTTGTGGGGCTAGCCTTGGTAATTTACACGATGTATGATAATTGTACTTATGTGTACCTGTGCCTAAATAAACTTATTCTCTGATTCTGTTCAAGGGATTCCTGTCATTCAAGTAATATATTCCAAGCAAACATAACAACTTTTTGTGGCCAAAATGTATCTATTCCTTGACATAGTCATGCTTTAGTGAATGGAATGGTGAGAACAAATAGAAAACATATGCCAAGGTTCAGTGGGGGGGAAGGACTAACGGTGCAATGCACTATCAGCAATATAGCCTCTCCTCACTTAACGTCATATTTGTTTACTGACACCTTCGACTTATGACCAGCATGCATACCTAAATAATGTATACTGTAATAGAGCTGATTTCCTCCATTCTGTTCATTACAATATACAGTACACTACTGTATAAACATTTAAGAATATACCAGAAATGTTATAAATGATGCATTACTATTATTATTATTATTTTATTTTTTTAACAAGTCAGTCGTCTCCCACCGAGGCAGGGTGACCCAAAAATAAAGAAAATCCCCAAAGAGAAAATACTTTCATCATCATTCAACACTTTCACCTCACTCACACATAATCACTGTTTTTGCAGAGGTGCTCAGAACACAACAGTTTAGAAGCATATACGTATAAAGATACACAACATATCCCTCCAAACCGCCAATATCCCGAACCCCTCCTTTAGAAAGCAGGCATTGTACTTCCCATTTCCAGGACTCAAGTCCGTCTATAAAAATAACCGGTTTCCCTGAATCCCTTCACTAAATATTACCCTGCTCACACTCCAACAGATCGTCAGGTCCCAAATACCATTCGTCTCCATTCACTCCTATCGAACACACTCACGCACACCTGCTGGAAGTCCAAAGCCCCTCGCCCACAAAACCTCCCTTACCCTTTCCTTCCAACCTTTTCGAGGACGACCCCTACCCCACCTTCCTTCCCCTACAGATTTAAACGCTCTCCATGTCATTCTACTTTGATACATTCCCTCTAAATGACCAAACCACCTCAACAACCCCTATTCAGCCCTCTGACTAATACTTTTATTAACTCCATACCTTCTCCTAATTTCCACACTCTGAATTTTTGGCATAATATTTACACCACACATCGCCCTTAGACAGGACATCTCCACTGCCTCCAACCGCCTCCTCGCTGCTGCATTCAAAACCCAAGCTTCATACCCATATAAAAGTGTTGGTACTACTATACTTCCATACATTCCCTTCTTTGCCTCCATAGATAACGTTTTTTGTCTCCACATATACCTCAACGTACCACTCACCTTTTCTCCCTCATCAATTCTATGATTAACCTCATCCTTCATAAATCCATCCGCCGACACGTCAACTCCCAAATACGTATCTGAAAACATTCACTTCTTCCATACTCCTCCTCCCCAATTTGATATATAATTTTTCTTTATCTAAATCATTTGATACCCTCATCACCTTACTCTTTTCTATGTTCACTTTCAACTTTCTACCTTTACACACACTCCCAAACTCATCCACTAACCTTTGCAATTTTTCTTTAGAATCTCCCATAAGCACAGTATCATCAGCAAAATGCAACTATGTCAATTCCCATTTTGTATTTGATTCCCCATAATTTAATCCCACCCCTCTCCCGAATACCCTAGCATTTACTTCTTTTACAACCCCATCTATAAATATATTAAAAAACCATGGTGACATTACACATCCCTGTCTAAGATCTACTTTTACTGGGAAGTAGTCTCCCTCTCTTCTACACACCCTAACCTGAGCCTCACTATCCTAATAAAAACTCTTTACAGCATTTAGTAACTTACCACCTATTCCATATACTTGCAACATCCGCCACATTGCTCCCCTATCCACTCTATCATATGCCTTTTCTAAATCTATGAATGCAATAAAAACTTCCCTACCTTTATCTAAATACTGTTCACATACATGCTTCAATGTAAACACTTGATCTACACATCCCCTACCCACTCTAAAACCTCCTTGCTTATCCGCAATCCTACATTCTATCTTACCTCTAATTCTTACAATTATAACCCTACCGTACACTTTTCCTGGTATACTCAGTAAACTTATTCCTCTGTAATTTTTACAATCTCTTTTGTCCCCCTTCCCTTTATATAAAGGGACTATACATGCTCTCCGCCAATCCCTAGGTACCTTCCCCTCTTTCATACATTTATTAAACAAAAATACCAACCACTCCAACACTATATCTCCCCCTGCTTTTAACATTTCTGTCACGATCCCGTCAGTTCCAGCTGCTTTACCCCCTTTCATTCTACGTAATGCCTCACGCACCTCCCCCATACTCACATCCTGTTCTTCTTCACTCCTAAAAGATGGTGTACCTCCCTGGCCAGTGCATGAAATTACCACTTCCCTTTCTTCGTCGACATTCAAAAGTTCCTCAAAATATTCTCGCCATCTACCCAATACCTCCATCTCCCCATCTACTAACTTCCCTACTCTGTTTTTAACTGACAAATCCATTCGTTCCCTAGGCTTTCTTAACACGTTTAACTCCAAATTTTTTTCTTATTTTCATTAAAATTTCTTGATAGTTCCTCTCCCACTCAATCATCTGCTCTCCTTTTTCACTCTCTCACCACTCTCTTCACCTTTCTTTTACTCTCCATATACTCTACTCTTCTTATAACACTTCTGCTTTGTAAAAACCTCTCGTAAGCTACCTTTCTCTCTTTTATCACACCCTTTACTTCATCATTCCACCAATCACTCCTCTTTCCTCTTGCACCCACCCTCCTATAACCATGCGGGAGCGTTAAACCCACAGGATTATACAGCACATGTGGGGGGGGGGGAATGGAAGGTATTCAGGCTCAATTCAGGGAACCTGAGCACAGATCCAAATCCCTAGATCCAGAGTCTCTCACCAGCATCAAGGAACCTCCCTTGAGGGGTATAAATGGTGCAAAGGTAATATTAAAACAATATCAACGATGGTTGATACAAACCACTACCATTATAATATGCTCTTCACTTAGCAACAAATTCTTTTACCGACATGGTCTTAGGAACAGAACTCCGTCGTTAAGTGAGGAGAGGCTGTATTGAGTGACTGTACCATTGCCATCACTTCTTCTGGGACCTATAAATAATTTGTATATATTTCTAGACAATAGTATATCATCACCAAGGCAAGTGGACATGTTCACCTGTCAGTGTGTTAGTGACTCTTTGATTACTATTTCCATATCTAATATTTGTGTCAGAACAATGATTGGCTACGAAATCACAAGATAATTTGTAATTATCAAAACATTAAAAACTGCATAAATTAAAAAAAACAGAAAAAATATATATAGGCAATATTTCTGCAAGAGGCAGGGCTCCATGTTGCCATCAGGTGAGCATCCAGTATCATCTTCACAACCTTATATCTCGGTAAGTACTGACAATATTTTTTTTTTTTGGGTCTTATTACACACAGAAAATTAACCTCCTTTTTTTTAACAAAAAAATCATTATTATTTTTCCAAATATTCAGAGCGACAGTGGAGATGCATAAATCAAAGCCATAACAGTTAATGGGTTAAGCTAAATACTCACTGCATGAGGCTTAGTGTACCATGCTGGACACTTGAAATCAAAGTAGTTCTCATATTTAGCACATAGATCATCACTTGGACCTGGTCCCTTGCTCACCATCTTGCCCTGGTCTCTCTTTTGCTGCTTACGAGCTTTACTGCATTCCAGCATTGGCTTGCACATTTTCATGCTAAGTAAATGAATAAGAGCTTAGCATTTTCAAAGTGAGCACAGAGAAAAGCAAGAATAGCTGAGATAGTGGGATAGTTCAAGCCATAAATTTCTTAAAAAAATATGAAGCCTGATCTGTCAAGATTCAGCACAATTGTGTACTGTTATAAGTAGTAACATATTGCAAAAAAATCTGTGTTTATTATATATTTTAATGAAATTTTATTTTGCAACAAAGGGTTGGTATTTTATAAGTACATAACTTACATCATTGAGAGGTAGTATAGATAAATGGTGGAATACAAAAAACCATTATTTTAATAGTTAAAAGAAAAGAATTTTACATGTACTCTAAATAATTTCTTAAACCTGTGGATTTTAAACTATAAGAGCAAACAAAATTAGTTTCTTAACACTAATATATAAATATAGTGTAGTTATTTTAAAGCACAGTGAATATCTTACACCAAAGTACAGTGACCTACAACAAGAAAACATTCACCATTATTCATTCACAGTCTGTGCAAGAAGTACACACACATTACAATTCATATAACCCTCTGAATTACAGCATCTCCATGCCTCCTTCAGAGTGACGGTACTATACTGTCCTTCCCACATTCAGTGTGCATAAACTGTTTTCTTAAATTCCTTCATGTTACTATGCTTGCACCCCAACAGCACATCAAATCCTTAAAAACCACATGTATTCACGCACCACAATCTAATGCACTTACACCTACTGTATCCTCACACCCCTACCAATATAAACCTGCATTACCCTCTCCATCCAACCCTTCCTGGGATGAAGAATCCTACCAGTCCTTCCATCCACCTCAAAATTATATAATCATCTCTTGGTCATTCTATTCACTACTTCCTCTATACATGCTCAAACCACCCCAACAACCCCTCCTCTGCCCTCTGAATGATACCCTTCATAACCCCACACCATCTAATTTCTATGCACTGAATTTATTACATTATATTCACGCCACACACTACTCTCAAATGTACCATATCTGTCTCCTGCCTCCTCGCTGCTACAGCATTTAAAACCCATACCTCACACCCATAAAAAAAAAATGGATGGTAAGTACCACTATATGCTTGTATATTCCTCCTCTTGCCTCCATAGATGAACACATTTAACTCCACAGATACCTCAATACTCCACCTATTTTCCTTTTTGTCTATACCATGACTCACTTCATCTTCTGTAGACCCATCTACAGGTATACCACCCATTTCCTAGCACCACTGGTGCATTCATGCAGTGTGTATGCTCAGTTTATGATGTATAGAGAGCTTTGCGTGGCAAAGATTGGTTAAGAATCATAGATGTAATATTTACATTTTATCTAAAATTAACGTAATACGTACAGTGGTACCTCGAATTTCGGCCTTAATTCATTCCAGAAAGCTGTTCGAGTGCCGTTGCCGAACGAATTTGTTCCCATAAGGAATAATGAAAATTAGATTAGTCCATTTCAGACCCCCCAAAAATACACTTACAAAAGCACTTACAAAAATACACTTACATAATTCTTTGAGTTGGGAGCTGTTCGAAATTCAAGGTACCACTGTATTTTTCTCTGTTAGCTTTTAGCCAAAACTTTCATAGTTTGTGTATGTTCATTCTGCACTGGTAGGGAGAGCTCATATTTGTATAGAGAGCTCATTTATTTGCTGAAGACTGGTCAAAAACCAGAGATTTAATACATACAGTAGATCCTGGTTTTCATAATTAATCCATTCCAGAAGGTTGGCCTAAATCTGAAATGGCCGAAAATCGAAGTAATATTTCCCATAAGAAATATAAATCCAATTAATCTGTTTCAGACACCCAAAAATTATAACAAAAAATAAATTTTATAGAGAATAACTATAGTTTTACATACAGAAAACAATGAGAAATAAATATAAATGACTAATTTTAATGATAAATGAACATTATATACCTTTACTGAAGACTCTTGTTGGTGAGTAGTATTTATTTGTAGTCCCAGAGGGACTACATCCCAGGCGTATAGCTACATACACTGCGGCCTACAGCCATATTATTACCATCGACATACCATGTTCACTGGGTTTAATCGTTTCTAACAACTACTTTTAGATGCCATCATAAACAAAGGGAGAAATAATGAATAAATCATGCCAAGAATTGTAAACAAAAGTCTTATGTACTATTAAGGGCAGTTGGTAACTGGGCCAACACAGATTCATACACGTTTTCTCTGAAGCTGGACCAGAGATAATGTAATGTTTACCCTCCACCAGTCCCTCGATAGCATATAAACACTGCATGTTTATATGCTATGTAACATGTTCCTTACATAATTTTTAAGAAAATAGATGGATTAACGAAAATGTCTATTTTTTTCTTTTTTTTTTTTTATCACACTGGCCGATTCCCACCAAGGCAGGGTGGCCCGAAAAAGAAAAACTTTCACCATCATTCACTCCATCACTGTCTTGCCAGAAGGGTGCTTTACACTACAGTTTTTAAACTGCAACATTAACACCCCTCCTTCAGAGTGCAGGCACTGTACTTCCCATCTCCAGGACTCAAGTCCGGCCTGCCGGTTTCCCTGAACCCCTTCATAAATGTTACTTTGCTCACACTCCAACAGCACGTCAAGTATTAAAAACCATTTGTCTCCATTTACTCCTATCAAACACGCTCACGCATGCCTGCTGGAAGTCCAAGCCCCTCGCACACAAAACCTCCTTTACCCCCTCTCTCCAACCTTTCCTAAGCCGACCCCTACCCCGCCTTCCTTCCACTACAGACTGATACACTCTTGAAGTCATTTTGTTTCGCTCCATTCTCTCTACATGTCCGAACCACCTCAACAACCCTTCCTCAGCCCTCTGGACAACAGTTTTGGTAATCCCGCACCTCCTCCTAACTTCCAAACTACAAATTCTCTGCATTATATTCACACCACACATTGCCCTCAGACATGACATCTCCACTGCCTCCAGCCTTCTCCTCGCTGCAACATTCATCACCCATGCTTTACACCCATATAAGAGCGTTGGTAAAACTATACTCTCATACATTCCTCTCTTTGCCTCCAAGGACAAAGTTCTTTGTCTCCACAGACTCCTAAGTGCACCACTCACTCTTTTCCCCTCATCAATTCTATGATTCACCTCATCTTTCATAGACCCATCCGCTGACACGTCCACTCCCAAATATCTGAATACATTCACCTCCTCCATACTCTCTCTCTCCAATCTGATATTCAATCTTTCATCACCTAATCTTTTTGTTATCCTCATAACCTTACTCTTTCCTGTATTCACCTTTAATTTTCTTCTTTTGCACACCCTACCAAATTCATCCACCAATCTCTGCAACTTCTCTTCAGAATCTCCCAAGAGCACAGTGTCATCAGCAAAGAGCAGCTGTGACAACTCCCACTTTGTGTGTGATTCTTTATCTTTTAACTCCACGCCTCTTGCCAAGACCCTCGCATTTACTTCTCTTACAACCCCATCTATAAATATATTAAACAACCACGGTGACATCACACATCCTTGTCTAAGGCCTACCTTTACTGGGAAATAATTTCCCTCTTTCCTACATACTCTAACTTGAGCCTCACTATCCTCGTAAAAACTCTTCACTGCTTTCAGTAACCTACCTCCTACACCATACACTTGCAACATCTGCCACATTGCCCCCCTATCCACCCTGTCATATGCCTTTTCCAAATCCATAAATGCCACAAAGACCTCTTTAGCCTTATCTAAATACTGTTCACTTATATGTTTCACTGTAAACACCTGGTCCACACACCCCCTACCTTTCCTAAAGCCTCCTTGTTCATCTGCTATCCTATTCTCCGTCTTACTCTTAATTCTTTCAATAATAACTCTACCATACACTTTACCAGGTATACTCAGCAGACTTATCCCCCTATAATTTTTGCACTCTCTTTTATCCCCTTTGCCTTTATACAAAGGAACTATGCATGCTCTCTGCCAATCCCTAGGTACCTTACCCTCTTCCATACATTTATTAAATAATTGCACCAACCACTCCAAAACTATATCCCCACCTGCTTTTAACATTTCTATCTTTATCCCATCAATCCCGGCTGCCTTACCCCTTTCATTTTACCTACTGCCTCACGAACTTCCCCCACACTCACAACTGGCTCTTCCTCACTCCTACAAGATGTTATTCCTCCTTGTCCTATACACGAAATCACAGCTTCCCTATCTTCATCAACATTTAACAATTCCTCAAAATATTCCCTCCATCTTCCCAATACCTCTAACTCTCCATTTAATAACTCTCCTCTCCTATTTTTAACTGACAAATCCATTTGTTCTCTAGGCTTTCTTAACTTGTTAATGTCACTCCAAAACTTTTTCTTATTCTCAACAAAATTTGTTGATAACATCTCACCCACTCTCTCATTTGCTCTCTTTTATATTAACGTAAAATAAGACATTAAATGTGCCCAAGAGTGATTATTATTATGTACTATTAGTATTATATTACTATGGCATTAAGACTTGAAGGACACTCTTAGTGAATGAGTAACAAAGGCATGTTTATACAGTGGACCCCCACCTTACGAACGCATCGCATTACGTTAAATCCGCCATACGAAGCATTTGAATGCAAAAATTTTGCCTCGCCTCACGATAAAAAACTCGCCTTACGTGGTTCGTCCAGGACGCATCCCACATGTGGCCTCAGCTGCCCCGTGGGTGCCAGTGTTTACAAGCCAGCCAGTGCGGTCACATCCACCATACATTCGGTACATTTCACCTTATCCCAGTGTTTTTTGTGCTTGTAACTGCAAAATAAGTCACCATGGGCCCCAAGAAAGCTTCTAGTGCCAACCCTGTGGTAAAAAGGGTGAGAATTAGTATGGAAATTAAGAAAGATTTTGAAGGGTTTGGGGCTAACCCTGAGAAGCTTATGCCAGTTGTGGAATCCATTGTGCCTACTTCAAAGATTAAGGAAATGTGTGCAAAGTGGGTTGAAGTGCAAACCTTTATGGATGAAAATCACCCTAACACAGCTATTGCAAGCCGTGCTGGTGACTATTACAATGACAATGTTGTGGCCCATTTTAGGCAAATCTTCAAGGAACAGGAGGTACAGACCTCTATGGACAGATCTGTTGTGCAACAGAGGTCCCGTGACTCTCAAGCTAGTCCTAGTGGCATTAAAAGAAGAAGGGAAGTAACCCCAGAAAAGGACTTGCTACCTCAAGTCCTAATGGAAGGGGATTCCCCTTCTAGACAATAACTTCCACACTCTCCCCTCCTCCCATCCCATCAATCATCACCAGATCTTCAATAAAGTTAAATGTCATGTATTCTATTCTTAGTAGAGTAGTAACTGTGGATGTCTTCTTCAGTTTGTGTGTATTAAAATTAATATTTCATGTGGTAAAAAAAATGTTTTTTTCATACTTTGGGGTGTCTTGCACGGATTAATTTGATTTCCATTATTTCTTATGGGGAAAATCAATTTGCCTTATAATAATTTCGGCTTACGATGAGCTCTCGGGAACGGATTAACATCGTAAGGCGGGGGTCCACTGTATACTATGTAATGTGTTTCTTACATAATTTTGAAGAAAATATCACAGATGGATTAATGAAAATGTCTATATTAACGTAAAATAAGACATTTAATGTGCCCAAGAGTGAGTCACGAACGTATGAGCGGCCCAGGTGGACGCATCTGGTACCATCGATTTCTGAGCCGATGTACGGAACCTGGGGGGAAATTTCGCCGAAAAAAGTGCTCGAAATCTGAATCGTATGATTTCCGCACCAGCTGAAAACCAGGGACCCACTGTAGTTGAAAGCCATGAGTGATAAGAAGTACATCCTCCCAGCACCATGTCTGGCTGCCCTGACACTATGGCACTGAGTGGTGATGGGACTACCTTTGAAGAGTTTTGAGTGTTTCTCTACTCTCTGAGCCCAGCCATGGGCCAGGCTCATCTGGTGCTTGCCTGGTCAACCAGGCTGCTGCTGCTGTTGCTGGAGGCCTGCTGCCCCACATATCCATCACAGCCTGGTTGATCTGGCACCTGGTGAAGATACTTGTCCAGTTTCCTCTTGAAGGCTTCTACACTTGTTCCAGCCCTGTTTCGGATATCTTCTGTTAAGATGTTGAATAGTCTGGGACCCTGGATGTTGATACAGTGTTCCCATATTGTCTCCACTGCACCCTGTTGACTGAGCTGACTGGCCACACTGACACTGTGGTACTGAGTTGTGGTGGGGTTGGCTGAGTTGACTGGCCACACACACTGCCCACCAGCCTCTAACACTTCTTCCACCGTCACTCCATTTAAAACTTTTTTATCACCATGTCTTGTCTCTGGATATTACACAACACAAAAAAGGAATAATACACAAATAACCCACACATAGGAGACTGAAATCTATGATGTTTAAGTCCAACTTGGACCATTAACTAGTTAATAGTGATTACTTAATGGTCTAAGTCGGACCAAAATACTGTCATAAATTTGAGTCTCCTAAGCGCAGGTTATTTGTGTATTGTTCCAGTAACCACATTGTGCCTTTTCATTCTTTCACAAAAAGTAATACTAGTACGTAATCTGAAGGTGCTAGAAAGGGAAATAAGCATGAAAGTCTGAGTGGTAAAAAAAAAAAAAAAGAGAAACAATTGTGATGAAATTTAAAGTCCCTGACATTGTATTACCTATGCCCATTTTCTCTGGAAGGAGCACTGTATGATTTATTAAACAATTTCCAATCTTCATAATAAATTTTAAGATCTCCAAAAGAAGTACCTCCTGACTCCTCATATGTTTTAACACTGCCCTCCTCCCCCTCACTTATTTATAACTCTTCCATTAACTTTCCCTGATATGACCAACAATTCACCTACAATATAATCAGCTAATTCAGTTACAATATCTACATCTACTCTTATTACCCTTTTATTTTAACACATCGGCCATTTCTCACCAAGGCAGGGTGACCCAAAAAGTAAGAAAAACCCAAAAAGAAAGAAAAATACTCTCATCAGCATTCAATACTTTCACCATTACTCATACATAACCACTGTCTTTACAGAGGCACTCAGATATAACACTTTAGAAGCCCCTTCAAACTGTCAATATCCCAAACCCTTCCTTAAGTGAAGGCACTGTACTTCCCATTTTCCAGGACTCAAGTCCAGCTAACCAGTTTCCCTGAATCCCTTCACAAAATATTACCATACCTACACCCTTGTTCTTCAAAAATAAAGACTACAAAAAATGCCTTTTCATCTCATGCGAGCACTTATATTACGCAATGTATTGTAGAGAACATTTTATAAAAAAAAAACACTCCATATATGTCATTTTCCAGGACTGTTCTGAAACCAGTCAGTCAGAATGACCAGGAGAGGAGAGAGTGAGGTATGTTTTGTTCAGTAGGTGAAGTACAGCAGATGGAGCAAGATGTATTTGTGTGAGTAGGTGAGCTGGTGAGTTTTTTTAGTTTATCCTAGAGGTAATTTTATGTGTTTCAGTGCTCTCATGTTTACCTGTAAGGCCCTAGTGTGCAGAAGCCTATTTAAGTTTTGGGAGAGTACTCGTACAGTCTGCAGGTTGAGTAGGCTGCAGAAGGGGGGTATTCATGGAGCCTCCTTGTTTATAAATGTTTATATGTTTTGTGTTACTCACTAGTAGCAGTGTGCAAGTGAGCTAATGTGAGTGAGTAAAGGTGATGTTGGATGTAGAAGAGTAGGTTGTAGGTTGTATATATTACTTTACTTTCAATATACACCTACCATCCGACTTACGACCTGCTCGACATATGACCACTCGGCTTACGACCATGTTTTGTATGCCAGATTTCTGGGAAATAAACAACTGTTTGTGATGTACACAGTGTTTATCCTAAACCTTACAGAATAAAATATAGTACTAACGGCATAAAAAGTAATGTAAAAAATGAAATACCAGAATAAAACAATAAAATAAAGTCACTACAAAAATGTGATGTTGATATTCAGTAGTAAGGTTCAACTTACGTCCATTTTGACTTACGACTAATTGGTCGGAACCAAGCTCAGTCGTAAGTCGGATGGTAGGTGTATATTATACAGTGGACCCCCGGTTAACGATATTTTTTCACTCCAGAAGTATGTTCAGGTGCCAGTACTGACCGAATTTGTTCCCATAAGGAATATTGTGAACTAGATTAGTCCATTTCAAACCCCCAAACATACACGTACAAACGCACTTACATAAATACACTTACATAATTGGTTGCATTCGGAGGTGATCGTTATGCGGGGGTCCACTGTATTTTTGTATAGGCGAGATTTTGTGTCCTTCCTTATAATAAATTATTGACTAATTTACGTTCCACATTTATTGTGAAGGTACAAGCTGGCCCTAGAGTGGTTTCTTTTTCTATTTTAAATAATATAAATGCCCCTAGACTAGGCAGGTCATTTACCCTTCAGGAGCCAGTAATTTTATTTAAGTTATGTAGTAAAAAGCTTAACAAGACTTGTTTTTCCCAAGAATATTTCAATCTCACTGAATAGTCTATTATACACAATGCACTGCACGATACTACTGCACATTTTGGCATTCATATCAAAATTTACCACATTCTTCCACTGCAAAGTGACATTCTCCTTTAAAATAAAAGCATACAAAAATAATGAATAACCACAATACATTTAACTGCAATATGTACTCACAGCTGACGGACACAATCTAAAACCTGTGGATCTTTACTTATAACATCAGCAATGATATGCTGCAGACCCTGTTCAACTTCTTCTATGGTGCGCAATCCTTCTCGGTTGGGGTCCATGAGGGAGTACAGCTCTTGCCGATTAGCCTACAACATAATTTGTGAATGAATGAAGGATTTCAAACTGGTTATTATCAAATTCTTGACAACACATTAATAAAGATCTTATCTTATTTTATACAGCCTCTCCTCACTTAGTGACGTACTCGTTTACCGACACTGCAGACTTACGACAGGCTCTGTGGCCAGTATTCACACCTAAATAATGTATATTAGAGCTGATTTCCTCAATTCTGTTTATTTCAATATACAGTACACTACTGCATAAGCATTTAAAAATATACCAGAAATGTTATAAATGGTGCAAAGGTGACATTAAAACTATCAAATTTGGTTGACACAAACTCATTACCATAATAGTATGCTCCTCACTTAGCAACGAATTCGTTTAACCCTTTCAGGGTTTCAGCCATACTAGTACGGCTTACGCCCCAGGGTTTTTGACGTACTAGTACGCCTAAATTCTAGCGCCCTCAAATCTAGTGAGAGAAAGCTGGTAGGCCTATGTATGAAAGAATAGGTCTATTTGGTCAGTGTGCGCAGTATAAAAAAAATCCTGCAGCACACAGTGAGTAATGAGAATAAAAAAAATTTGACAGTGTTTTTGGATTAAAACAGCTACTTTGCACTGTATTTTCGTATGGTATTTATTGTTGTATTCTAGTTTTCCTGGTCTCATTTCATAGAATGGAAGACATATTACAGAAATTGAGATGATTTTGACTGGTTTTACAATGAAAAGTACCTTGAAATTGAGCTCAAAGTAGCAGAAATGTTTGATTTTTACCAAAGTTCAAAAGTAAACAAATCATGCTATGCCTCCAATACACGTCAACTGGTGAGTCCAATATTCTTTCACAAGTGCGCTGATATTATGTATACCATTTCTACACTAATGCAGTAGTCTGCATAACAGTAAATCTTCGATTTTTTGTAAGAATAAAAATTCAAAGTGGAAACCCAAAGAAATATAAGAGGGGCCTGGGGATGTGACTAACGAACAGAGAATGTCTTTCTTGTTTATTCTGGACCCTATTCGGAAATTGGCATCTTTTGAAATTTGTGTGAAATTGGCCAAATTGCTAAATTCTGACCACTTTACTGGATAACTGAAATTGGTAAATGGGTGGTTTCTTGCACTCATTCGATAGAAAAAATGGAGTTCTAGCGAAATAGTTATGATTTTTGTCGACTAGTACACCGGAATTGGCCGAAAATAGGGCTCAAAGTGGGCAAAATCGCTGATGAGTAAACATCGAGACTGCTAACTTCACGAGAGCATAATTCCATGAGTTTTCCATCAAATTTCATACTTTTGGTGTCATTATGATTGGGAAAAGATTCTCTATCTTCTCATAAGAAAATTTTTTTTTTTTTTTAAATTTGGCGACCATGAGAACAAGTCTCGGAGAAGGCCTGGGGACCCTGAAAGGGTTGATGACGTGGTCTTAGGAACAGAACTCCGTCGTTAAGTGAGGAGAGGCTGTAGTCACTACTCAATAATACAGACTGAGTCCTTGGTCAACACTCAGGTGTATCATCCATTACACTAAGAATTTTTATAATCTACAAAACTCCTCTTAATTTTAATCAATATTCATTTGGCCATGAACATTTAACCCTTTCAGGGTCCGTACTGTAGTTCTACAGCTTTGAGTTGAGGGTCCAAACTGTAGTTCTAAGCCATGAGCTCAGCTCACTCAGATAAGCTGTGAGTGGTAAATTTGAGCCTAGACATGAGACAATACATCTATGTGGTATGTGTGCACCACATAAAACAAATCCTGCAGCACACAGTGCATAATGAGAGGAAAAAAACTGAGACCATAATTTTTTATTAAAACAGTGACTTTGCAGTGTTTTTCCATATGTTTTTTATAGTTGTATTTGCGATTTGATAGAATGGAAGATAGGTTACAGAAATAGGGATGACTTTGATTAGTTTTAGTATTGGAAATGGCTTGAAACTGAGCTCAAACTAGCAGAAATGTTAAATTTTTGCCGATGTTCAAGAGTAAACAAATGACCTCACACGTCTAATACATGCAAGCTGTTGGGTCTAATATACGTTCACAAATATGATGATATTATTTATACAATTATTATAATATTGCAAAACAGTAAACTTCTATTTTTTGGTTTGAATAAAAATTCATTATGTGAATAAAAAATCAAAATGGAATTAATTTGTAAAGCCTGAAAACGTAAGTAACAAACAGCGGAAATGTTAGTTTAGTGCCAGGAATGCCTGCATTGCTTATTCTGGACCCTATTTTGAAATTGGAATATTTTGAACTCTGCGTTAAATTGGCCAAATTACCAATTTCCGATCACTTTATTTTGTAGTTGAAACAGTTGACTGGGCGATTTCTTGTACTCATTCGATAGAATAGAAGTAATACTAATGAAATAGCTAAGAATTTGGTTGGCTGTTGTAATGTAATTGGCCTAAAATGGGAGTCAAATTCAGCAAAATCGCCAATGCGTAAATATCGCTGACACATCAAAATTCGCGAGCATAATTTCGTAAATTTTCCATCAAGTTTTGTACTTTTTGTTTTATTACCTCCAGAAAAAGATTCTCTACTATTTCATAAGAAAAATTATTATTATTTTTTTTTATTAACACACTAGCCAATTCCCACCAAGGCAGGGTGGCCCAAAAAAGAAAAACTTTCACCATCATTCACTCCATCACTGTCTTGCCAGAAGGGTGCTTTACACTACAGTTTTTAAACTGCAACATTAACACCCCTCCTTTAGGGAGGGGTGTTTTTTTTTAATTCTTGGACCCTGGCCACACTTTGAAATTAGGCCTCTGGACCCCGAAAGGGTTAAACAGCCAACTTTAAATGCGGTACTCAGGTTAAATACTCTTTAGTATCTCCTTAAAATACTGAAAGAAATAAAGTTTGCAACTCCTGATAAAACCAGGGGGAGCTTCACAAAAGTGGTATGACATATATATTTTTTTTTTCAACAATTCGGCAGTCTCCCACCGAGGCAGGGTGACCCAAAAAGAAAGAAAATCCCCAAAAAGAAAATACTCTCATCATCATTCAACACTTTCACCTCACTCTTTGCAAAGGCACTCAGAACACAACAGTTTAGAAGCATATACATATAAAGATACACAACATATCCCTTCAAACTGCTAATATCCCAAAACCCCTCCTTTAGAGTGCGGGCATTGTACTTCCCATTTCCAGAACTCAAGTCCGGCTATATAAAAATAACCGGTTTCCCTGAATCCCTTCACTAAATATTACCCTGCTCACACTCCAACAGATCGTCAGGTCCCAAATACCATTCATCTCCATTTACTCCTATCGAACACGCTAATGCATGCCTGCTGGAAGTCCAAGCCCCTCACTCACAAAACCTCCCTTACCCCTTCCTTCCAACCTTTTCGAGGACGACCCCTACCCCGCCTTCCTTCTCCTACAGATTTAAATGCTCTCCATGTCATTCTACTTTAATCCATTCTCTCTAAATGACCAAACCACCTCAACAACCCCTCTTCAGCTCTCTGACTAATACTTTTATTAACTCCACACCTTCTCCTAATTTCCACACTCCAAATTTTCTTCTAAATATTTACACCACACATTGCCCTGCCTCCAACCGCCTCCTCGCTGCTGCATTTACAACCCAAGCTTCACACCCATATAAGAGTGTTGGTACTACTATACTTTCATACATTCCCTTCTTTGCGTCCATAGATAACGTTTTTTGACTCCACATATACCTCAACGCACCGCTCACCTTTTTTCCCTCATCAATTCTATGATTAACCTCATCCTTCATAAATCCATCCGCTGACACGTCAACTCCCAAGTATCTGAAAACATTCACTTCTTCCATACTCCTCCCCAATTTGATATCCAATTTTTCTTTATCTAAATCATTTGATACCCTCATCACCTTACTCTTTTCTATGTTCACTTTCAACTTTCTACCTTTATACAGGATACTGAATACAGTGGAACTTCAAAAATCGAACTTCTCCCAACACAACCAATTATGTAAGTGTATTTTTTTAAGTGCTTTTATAAGTGTATTTTTAAGGGTCTGAAATGGGCTAATCTAATTTACATTATTCCTGATGGGAATAAATTCATTCGGTAAAGGCACTCGAACAGACTTCTGGACCGAAGAAAGTTCGATATTTGAGGTTCCACTGTAATTTATAAAACAAAAAACATATATTTACATTGAGGACTATGAGTCACAGCAATCAACAACTAACCAACAATTCAGAAAAGAAACCTTATATGATGTTTCAGTCTGCCCTGGATCTAGACTTAATAACAGTCCAAGATGGAGTAGACCTTCATTAGTTTCTTCTCCTAACTGAAATACTTGTAAAATACTTACAATCTCTCACTATTACTGTTCAACTAAATATTAAAGGTATTAATAATCTACTAAAGATCTTACTTTTTGCCATCATATTTTACTCTTCTAAACATCCTCCTTATCTAAGTGTTTTATTTCATCAATTTTCTGGCTTTTTTTTTTTTCACTTTTTTCTTAACCTACATTTCTTAACCTACGTTTTGTGGGCGAGGGGTTTGGACTTCCAGCAGGCATGAGTGAGCATGTTAAATAGAAGTGAATGGAGACGAATGGTATTTGGGACCTGACGATCTGTTGGAGTGTGAGCAGGGTAACATTTAGTGAAGGGATTCAGGGAAACCGATTTTTTATATATAGCCGGACTTGAGTCCTGGAAATGGGAAGTACAATGCCTGCACTCTAAAGGAGGGGTTCAGGATATTGGCAGTTTATAGGGATATGGTGTGTATCTTTATACGTATATGCTTCTAAGCTGTTGTGTTCTGAGCACCTCTGCAAAAATAGTGATTATGTGTGAGCGAGGTGAAAGAGTTGAATGATGATGAAAGTATTTTCTTTTTAGGGATTTTCTTTCTTTTTGGGTCACCCTGCCTCGGTGGCAGACGGCCGACTCGTTAAAAAAAAAAAAAAAAAAAAAAAAAAAAAAAATTGTAATTTGCAATTAACATGTCTATGCTTCTATATTTAACATGCTTTTTCATATTTAGTTATATAATTGGTGACTCCACATTTTTTAACACTTTGCTGTTTCCCACCAAGGCAGGGTAACCCAAAAAGAAAGAAAAACCCCAAAAGAAAAAAAAACTTTTATCATCATTCAACACATTCACCATCAATCACACATAATCAGTCTTTGCAGAGGCGCTCCGATACGACAGTTTAGATGTCACTCTCAACAGCCAATATTCCAAACCCCTCCTTTAAAGTGCAGGCACTGTACTTCCCACCTCCAGGACTCAAGTCTGGCTAACTGATTTCCCTGAATACAGGTTGTTAGGTCCTAAAAACCATTCATCTCCATTCACTCATCTAACACACTCAGCACGCTTGCTGAAAGTCCAAGCCCCTTGCCCACAAAACCTCTTTTACCCCCTCCCTCCAACCTTCCCTAGGATGACCCCTACCCCACTTCTTCCATACTCCCTCCCTCCAATATAGTATCCAATTTTTCATTACCTAACTATCTGATATCCTTATCACCTTACTCTTATCTATGTTCACTTTCAACTTTCTTTTTTTTCTTTCTTTCTTTCTTTTGTATTTGCGTGCAGGATCATATTCCAAAATAAGCAATGCTTTTATATATTTTACTTACAAACTTGTTGTGTGTTCCTTGCATGACTTCCAAAGCTGCAGGTTCCAGCCCAAGTTCTCTTGCCCTTTCAGCATATGTGCGTTTTCCACTACCCTTATAAGCTGCAGTCTAAACACACAAGACACATGTTAAAAACACTGAAGTCTAAAAATAACAAGTTCATATTCTGTGCCCAACATTTCTTTCCTAAGACAGTGCTAAAAATCAGGCAGTACAAACAGAAGCCACATCATAATTTCAGAAAGACACACATATGACCAAATCTTTTATATGGCAATGAAAAGCACCAAGACTCTTAAAATAAATACTCCTAGAAACACCTATTTTTTCATAAAAATTACTGATTCAGATTCAAGTATTATAACATTTGGCTTAAAAATGGAACTAACAGATATAATTAGGTATATACGTATACTACTAGCAATCATTGGTGAAAATTTATCAACTCTACTAATGTTATTCAAAAACAAAAACTAGCACTGCCATCATCCCTCCAAAAAAAAGAAAAGATTTGCTAAAATTCTGAAACTTTAAACATACCAAGTGTTCCACTTCATGCATAGTCGTCGCACGAAGCAGCGAGGCTTTGCGGTCCTCTGGGAGGCGCTTCCGATCTCCCTTTAGAATTTTTACCACACGCTCCTGCACATGTCTTACAAGGAAATAAAGAAAAAAGTATAAAATTTGGTGAACCCCATATAGGTATTCCCAAGGATAGGAATTCATTACAACAAATGAACACAGAGGATCTGAGTCAAGACAAATGGAATAAGAAATAATAAAAATTACATATTACCTACCAATTTTTATTCACACTACTCTAAGAAATTGTGGCACATTCAAAGGTAGGGCTGATATGAAGCAGAGAAATGAAAACGGAAAACTTAAAGAAAAATGTCTTCTTGTAACAGTGGCTAAATCAACTGATAATGGGTTTTCAAGGGAAATACAGTGAACCCTCATTTTTCATAAGCATTGAAGTCGTAATTTTCCCAAATCATAACATTTTTTCATCAAAATACTGACTTGCGAATCGTCGTTTGACTCGCAAACAGTCGTTCATCCCAGACGCATACGAACAACGCGTGCGAGCAACTGACTGTGGCCACCACAGTCAGTGTGCCATCATTTATCACAGAGTGAGCACGATCCCACACATTCATACGATACATTTCGTAATATTTCATTCGTTTTAGTGCTTGCAGCTACTAAATAAGCCACCATCGGCAAAAAAGAAAGCAACTGCCAGCCCTCTGGTAAAGAAGGTGATAAACACGATAAAATTAAAGAAAAAGATTGTAGAAAAATACGAAAGTAGTGGTGGTAGTGACAGTGGTAGAGGGTGGTAGTGATAGTGGAAGAGGGTGGTAGTGATGGTGGTAGAGGATGGTAGTGGTTGTGATAGTGGTAGAGGGTGGTAGTGATGGTGGTAAAGGGTGGTAGTGGTTGTGATAGTGGTAGAGGGTGGTAGTGATGGTGGTAAAGGGTGGTAGTGGTTGTGATAGTGGTAGTGATGGTGGTAAAGGGTGGTAGTGGTTGTAATAGTATTAGAAGGTGGTAGTGATGGTGGTAGAGGGTGGTAGTGGTTGTGATGGTGGTAGTGGGTGGTAATGGTTATGATAGTGGTAGATGGTGGTAGTGATGGTGGTAGTAGTTTAATAGTGGTAGAGGGTGGTTGTGATGATGGTAGTGGGTGGTACTGATGGTGGTAGAGGGTGGTATTGATGGTGGAGAGGGTTGTAGTGATGGTGGGAGAAGGTGGTAGTAGTTGTGATGGTGGTAGTGGTTGTGATGGTGGTAGAGGGTGGTAATGGTTGTGATAGTGGTAGAGGGTGGTTAGTGATGGTGGTAGTAGTTGAATAGTGGTAGAGGGTGGTAGTGATGGTGGCAGAGGGTGGTAGTGGTTGTGATGGTGGTAGAGGGTGCAGTGATGGTGGTAGTGGGTGGTAGTGATGGTGGGAGAGGGTGGTAGTGATGGTGGTAGAGGGTGGTAGTGTTCATGATGGTGGTAGAGGGTAGTAGGTTGTATTGGGTGGTAGTGGTTGTGATGGTGGTAGAAGGTGGTAGTGGTTGTGAAGGTGGTACAGGGTGGTAGTGATGGTGGTAGAGGGTGGTAGTGGTGTGATAGTGTAGAGGGTAGTAGTGGATGTGTAGTGGTAGAGGGTAGTAGTGATTGGTGGTAGAGGTGGTAGTGATGGTGGTTGAGGGTTTGGTAGTGGTTGTGAGGTGGTAATTTGCTGTGAGGGTGTAGAGGGTGGTAGTGATGGTGTAAGGTTGGTAGTGTTGTGATAGTTGTAAAGGGTGGTAGTGTTGTTGATAGTGGTAGAGGTGGTAGTTGGTTGTGATTGTGGTGAGGTGGTATGGTTGTAATAGTGGTAAGGGTGGTAAGATTGGCTAGAGGGTGGTAGTGGTTTTGGTGGTATAGGGGCAGTAGTGATGGTGGTAGAAGTGGTAATGGTTGTGATGGTGGTAGTAGGTCGTGGTAGTGTTGTGATGTGGTAGTTTGTGATTGGTAGAGGGTGGTAGTGATGGTGTAGAGGTGGTAGTAATGAGATTTTGTGCAAATGTGAGTAGGATGGAATGATTTGTGGAGAAACATACCCTAACAAAGCCATTGCAAGCTGTGTCGGCAACATGCACAATAACAATGTCTTGTCCCCCATTTTAGGGAAATTTTAACGAGACGCCAGAAACAGAGCTCTCCGGACAGATATTTAGTGCCACAGGTGTGCATTGACTCTCAAGGTGGTCCTAGTGGCATTAAAAAACAAAGAAAGGAAGTAACCCCAGAAAAGGACTTGGTACCTGAGTCTTTATAGAAGGGGATTTCCCTTCCAAACAGTAATTTCTCCATCCTCTCTCTACCTCCAGTCTTCCATACACTAAGAAGAATCTTCAATAAAGGTAAGTGTCATGTTATTATTGCTTTATTCTTCATGTCTCATTGTTTTCTGTGTACGTATGTATATCTATATTTCATGTAAAAAAATTATTTTAATACTTCTCAGTGTCTGGAACGGATTAATTGGATTTACATTATTTCTTATGGGGAAAATGGTTTCGCAAATCATCAATTACGCCATTAGTCACACTCTCTGGAACGGATTAATTACGAAAAACTAGGGTCCACTGTATTACCATCCCCTTCCACATTACAATATTGATGCATAATTTTGTAAATTAGTATTAGAGGCAAAGTTACAAATGTATTACCTGTTTGAGTTTGCAGGGGGTGAATTCCAGCTCTTGGCCTCACTTCTTAAATTTTTACTGAGTGACATGATGGAGCCCTGTCATACCTGTCTTTATGATTAATTACTTGTTGGATTTAGATTGATAAATTAGACACATGTGCAACTCTTGGGTATCTTATAAACCATACGGTTTATAAGCTGCTTCTCCACTGATATGCCGTATTCTATTCAAGATTGATGGACTGAACACATCGACTCAAGGTTGAGGGACTGATTACCTCATTCTTCTCCTGTTCTTCAAGTTTCTCCTACGTATGGACTGATGAAGCCACTATGTGGCGAAACATTTTTCCTCAATAAAGATACCCAAGAGTTGCACATGTGTCTAATTTATCAACATGTCGGTTCTCTGAACCATTCATCTGGATTTAGATTCTTTATATTCAGTCACCCACTTAAATATGACTGATCTGAGAACCACCTGATCAAAAGAAATACGTAAATGGCCTAATATTTCTCAAGTTTCATGTGAGTGACAAAATTCACAGCATATTTCCAGAGTACAGTACATTATTTGTGAAATCTGAAGGAGTTTTGATGACACATTATATCAAATGAAAACAACAATCCCATCACAGATATTCCTCACAACAAATACAGCAGGTCTTCAAATAACATTGTTTTATTGAAATTTGTTTCATTATAACGCTGATAAGAAAAAATCAAATACAAATTATTGTAAAACAAAAATTCGTAAAGCATACGATAATCACACAAATGCACGAAAATAAATAATGCGGTATGAAAGCGCTCAGCGAGCCCATCATATTTGTTACTGAATGGTGGTAGGATGTGCTCCTTACAATTTTCACTTTCCAAACATTTATTTCTTGATTTAACCCTGTTGCAATGACTGCTAAAGGTACACTATGCACCCATGACGTCTGTGGCCACAAAAAACAGAAAAAGTGTGACATTAGAAACAAAACTAGAAGCTTTATAGACGTCTGATGATGAACAGCTAGGTGTGGTTTCATTATACGTCGTTTCGCTCAGTCACAGCTTCCAAGAACCTATCGATAACGTTAAGTGAGGACTTACTGTATATTCTTTCTTTCAACACACCGGCCATATCCCACCAAGGCAGGGTGGCCCAAAAAGAAAAACGAAAGTTTCTCTTTTAAATTTAGTAATTTATATGGGAGAAGGGGTTACTAGCCCCTTGCTCCCGGCATTTTAGTCGCCTCTTACAACACACATGGCTTATGGAGGAAGAATTCTGCTCCACTTCCCCATGGAGAAAAAGAGGAAATAAACAAGAACAAGAACTAGAAAAAAAATAGAAGAATACCCAGAGGGGTGTGTATATATATGCTTGTACATGTATGTGTAGTGTGACCTAAGTGCAAGTAGAAGTAGCAAGACGTACCTGAAATCTTGCATGTTTATGAGACAGACAAAAGACACCAGCAATCCTACCATCATGTAAAACAATTACAGGTTTTCGTTGTACACTCACTTAGCTGTATATGTATAAGGATTTTTCAAAATAAAGATTAAAATTGAGAAGATAACAATAATATATGATAGTTTAGAGGACAGTGTAACACTATGACCATTCTTCTCTGGACTATAAAAATCAGATGAAGTATAAATAGGCAGAATACTATGACTGGAACAATACATAAATAACCCACACATAGGAGACTGAAACTTATGACAAAGTTCCAGTCTGGCTCGGACCATTAACTAATCACACAGAAGTGTGAAAGGAATGGAGCCAGTATATATATGAAAGGGAAGTAGGTCCAGAAGTAGTGGAATGAAAGGATGAAGTAGGAAAATAATGGTACCAAATACACCTACCATCCGACTTACGACCTGCTCAACTTACGACCACTCGACTTACGACCGTGTTTTTTATGCCAAATTTCTGGGAAATAAACAACTATTTGTGTTGTACACAGTGTTTATCCTAAACCTTACAGTATAAAATACAGTACTAACAGCATAAAAAGTAAAGTAAAACATGAAATACCAAAATAAAACAATAAAATAAAGTCATTACAAAAATGTTTTGTTGATATTCAGTAGCAAAGCTCGACTTACGTCCATTTCGACTTACGACCGGTTTCTCGGAACCGAACTCGGTCGTAAGTCGGATGGTAGGTGTATCATCATAAGTTTATATCCTAAATGTGGGTTCTTTGTTTACAAATCAGATTGGTGTACCTAACATATACATTCCATAAGTTTGTATTCCAATCAATCTTAATCACATTAGAATGGGAAAGAAACGTAATCAGTTGAGCAATAACAAAATGGAAACCTACCCCAAAAAGGGGGTTCCAAAATAGACAATAACTGGGCTCAATCATGTCATTTGGTCAAAAATTAAGATGCAGGAACAAAAAATGGAGCACACCCCTCTACTGCCATTCCCTGCAAACTCACACAGGTAACTACAAATACATAAACATCAAAGTTCTCACCCACATTTTCAAGATTATAACTTTAAAGTTTCTGGAAACGGACAAAAAATAAAATGATTTACTTTAACTGTGAGTAGGAATTCTGGATTTCACGAAGTTTTTCCACCTCCATGTTTCCAGTTTTCTCCTTACGGTAGCGTGCTATGAAAGGTAGAGTGTTTTCTTGGTCGAACATAGTGATTACATTACGTGCCACCCACTCATCAACATTTTGTCGCTCAGCAATGACCTTTGCTGGATCCCATTCAAAAAGAATCTCTACATCATTATCAGGTATCTGTTGGATAAAGATTACATAGTAATAGCCAATTTATCAATAAAATTTAATTTTATTAGCATTAGGATAAGTACAATTTCAACTTAAAGTATTGATTATACTACATTGTATTTCATGCTGTAGTGCAGTATTTACCTATTTATTTAAAAATTTTGCTTTATAATATCTTAAAGTATAAATACACAAAGTATCATGGTAATAAACTTAACTTTTAAAACTGTTTCAATGACTGGACTGTCTGAAGTTTCAGAATCTATATTGTTGTCAGGGAATTATTTATCATTAAATATCATACAATAATCAGCTAAGTATAGTAGACATGTATACATGTTTTGCCTTAATATGGTTGCAAAATGGCAGCATATTTTTTATGAGAATGACATTTTAATCAGTTTACACAGCAGAGGACATGTAAGGTAAATGAGGCATGCACTGTGTTCATTCCCTTCCATCTTTCAGTGAGCATACGGACGAGTTCATTGTCTTACGGGGAGGCCTACTGTATGTACACAACCTCCATTGCCTCAGTGTTCCTTCTCTTCATGTCCAATGCTATACCTTGGCCACATGCTGTGCAGCACACCCAGCAACCTTCACTCACATAACCCTCCCCCATGGCCACATGCCTTCATTCACTCCATCCCAACCAACAACCTCCACCCATACAACCCACCTATACAATTCCCCCCTACAACCACATTTTCCCCACTACCTCAAGACCATGCCTTACCCAGTCCCAGACCCTCACACACACCATTTCCCAAAGACCTCATGTCCACACTTTACTTGACCTTTCATCCTAATACACCATCCACCTAATCACTTAATCACCCACTGCCCACACCAAGAACTGCACACTAACCCACCCAGTCACCCATCATCCACACAACCCACACTGGGAGACTGACACCACTCCTTTCACCCACATTTCTCCCCATAGCTTCAGGGAGGGGAGAGCCTTTTTTCATAGATTAGTAAATTAAGATAGAAAAATTATGGAAAAAAATGTTTTCTTATGAAAAATAGTGCATAATTCTGGCAACATACTGATGTAATCAGCTTGTTTCTATCATATTTCTAAGTATGTTTTTCATTAAATGTAATTTTTTTGTTCTTGCTGGCAGCAAGAAGACATGTTGGCAATTAGTGGGGTTTTTTCCTCCAAAAATTACGATTTTTATGAGTGTTTCATTCTAAATCCTCTACATGGCAACTTTTGTGCTGATTAAAGTGTAGAGCACAGTTTGTCCCTTAGTAGCCTGCAGGCTGTCAACAAAGATGGAGGGGTGCAACATGCTGAGATTTGGCATGTCGTAACTGCAAAGTTTTACACCAAACAATAATAATAACTCAGAAATAAGTTATTGACATTGTGTTCCATTTTTTGCAGTAAGTATTTATAGGATTGTCATGATTTTTGCTCACATTATTGAGGAATGATGGTTCTACAGACACCCTGGGGGGATTAGCGATATTGTTTACAGCTTTGTTTTTAATTATTTTTTTTCCACAAAAAAAATAGTACTGTACTTTCGTTTTTCCTTTTGGGTCACCCCACGTCAGTGGGATATGGCTGGTACGTTGAAAGAAGAAGAAAGAAAGAAAAAAAATAGTAGTTCCAAGACTAGTTCCAGAGCCAAGGAAAATGTCTTACGAAGAAAGGTTTAGGGAAATCGTCCTGACAACAGTGGAGGAGAGCAGGGTTAGAGGAGATATGATAACAATATACAGTACAAAATACTGCGAGGAATTGACAAGGTGGACAGAGACAGGATGTTCCAGAGATGGGACATGGGAACAAGGGGTCACAAGTGGAAGTTGAAGACTCAGATGAGTCAAAGGGATTATTTTTTTTTTTTATTAACACATCGGCCGATTCCCACCAAGGCAGGGTGGCCCAAAAAAGAAAAACTTTCACCATCATTCACTCCATCACTGTCTTGCCAGAGGGATGCTTTACACTACAGTTATAAAACTGCAACATTAACACCCCTCCTTCAGAGTGTAGACACTGTACTTCCCATCTCCAGGACTCAAGTCCGGCCTGCCGGTTTCCCCGAATCCCTTCATAAATTTTACTTTGCTCACACTCCAACAGCACATCAAGTATTAAAAACCATTTGTCTCCATTCACTCCTATCAAATATGCTCATGCATGCTTGCTGGAAGTCCAAGCCCCTTGCACGCAAAACCTCATTTACCCCCTCCATCCAACCCTTCCTAGGCTGACCCCTACCCCACCTTCCCTCCACTCTCGAAGTCATTCTGTTTTGTTCCATTCTCTCTACATGTCCGAACAACCTCAACCCCTCCTCAGCCCTCTGGATAATAGTTTTGGTAATCCCACACCTCCTAATTTCCAAACTACGAATTCTCTGCATTATATTCACACCACACACTGCCCTCAGACATGACATCTCCACTGCCTCCAGCCTTCTCCTCATTGCAACATTCATCACCCATGCTTCACACGCATACAAGAGTGTTGGTACAACTATACTCTCATACATTCCCTTCTTTGCTTCCATGGACAAAGTTCTTTGTCTCCACAGGCTCCTAAGTGCAACACTCACCCTTTTCCCCTCATCAATTCTGTGATTCACCTCATTTTTCATAGACCCATCTGCTGACACGTCCACTCCTAAATATCCGAATACATTCACCTCCTCCATACTCTCTCCCTCCAATCTGATATCCAATCTTTCGTCACCTAATCTTTTTGTTATCCTTATAACCTTCCTCTTTCCTATATTCGCTTTTAATTTTCTTCTTTTACATACCCTACTAAATTCATCCACCAACCTCTGCAACTTCTCTTCAGAATCTCCCAAAAGCACCGTGTCATCAGAAAAGAGCAACTGTGATAACTCCGATTTTGCATTTGATTCTTTATCTTTTAACTCCACTATTACAACCCAGGATTCCAAATGGCCTGTTACCCCGGGTGTAATGGGAGCAAATAAACACAGTAGAAAAAGTTTAGACTTATATTATCCTTCACCAATTTAGAACAGCAATATGTACACTATGTACAGTGATAAGTATAGTGCACTCCACGGTAAGCAAAGCAGAAATAGAAGCCACAAGATAGCAGACCGTGCTTCAACCAGCTCTAGAATGGGAATGACAAGGGCAGACAGGAGAGCGGTACCCACATAACCTCTGCGATTGCCAAAACCATCTTCTTATTGGCTAGAACCTGGTCACTAGTTGAACGACGGGGCCCCATCATCAACTCTTAGCAACCTGGTTCGCTGGTTGGGGGAGATAGCCTGTAAATGAGGGTGTGTACATGCGCCGAATAAAGGTTACGTACTCTTTGCATGCCACATCCACACTTCTTGCCAAGACCCTAGCATTCACTTCTCTTACAACCCCATCTATAAATATATTGAACAACCACAGTGACCTCACACATCCTTGTCTAAGATCTAATTTTACTGGGAAATAATCTCCCTCTCTCCTACATACTCTAACCCAAGCCTCACTATGCTCATAAAAGCTCTTCACTACTTTCAGTAACCAACCTCCTATACCATACACCTGCAACATCTGCCACACTGCCCCCGTATCAACCCTGTCATATGCCTTTTCCAAATCCATAAATGCCACAAAAACCTCTTTACCCTTATCTAAATACTGTTCACCTATATGTTTCACTGTAAACACTTGATCTACACACCCCCTACCTTTCCTAAAGCCTCCTTGTTCATCTGCTATCCTACTCTCTATCTTACTCTTAATTCTTTCAATAATTACTCAACCATACACTTTACCAGGTATGCTCAACAGACTTCTTTCTTCTTTCTTTCAACACACTAGCCGTATCCCACCGAGGCCGGATGGCCCAAAAGGAAAAACGAAAGTTTCTCCTTTTACATTTAGTAATATATACAGGAGAAGGGGTTACTAGCCCCGTGCTCCTGGCATTTTAGTCGCCTCTTACAACACGCATGACTTACGGAGGATGAATTCTGTTCCACTTCCCCATGGAGGTAAGAGGAAATAAACAAGAACAAGAACTAGAAAGAAAATAGAAGAAAGCCCAGAGGGATGTGTATATATATGCTTGTACATGTATGTGTAGTGTGACCTAAGTGTAAGTAGAAGCAGCAAGACATACCTGAAATCTTGCATGTGTACAAGACAGAAAAAAAAGACGCCAGCAATCCTACCATCTTGTAAAACATTTACAGGCTTCCATTTTACACTCACTTGGCAGGACGGTAGTACCTCCCTGGGCGGCTGCTGTCTACCAACCTACTACCTAGAACTCAACAGACTTATTCCCCTATAATTTTTGCACTCTGTTTTATCCCCTTTGCCTTTATACAAAGGAACTATGCATGCTCTCTGCCAATCCCTAGGTATCTTACCCTCTTCCATACATTTATCAAATAATAGCACCAACCACTCCAAAACTATATCCCCTCCTATTAGGAAGTGTTTCTTTAGTCATAGAGTTATCAGGAAGTGGAATAGTCTGGCAAGTAACGAAGTGGAGGCATGAACCATACATAGTTTTAAGACGAGGTTTGATAAAGCTCATGGAGCAGGGAGAGAGAGGACCTAGTAGTGATCAGTGAAGAGGCAGGGTCAGGAGCTGACTCGACCCCTGCAACCACAAGCAGGTGAGTACAAATAGGTGACAACACCACCTTGTTGCTTCCAGCCTCCTTCCACACACCCCTCCACTGTCCAGCATCCTCCACCTCCAAACACCAGCCTCCAGCACCTGCTGCCACCCCTATAGTTCATACCTCTCCTCCTGACACTGATGCTTCCTGTGTCTATTTCCTACTCCTCTTGTTCTCTCCAATACTATGGAGAAACTGGCTGCTCTCTTTCTGACAGACTTAAGGAGCAAAAAAGATGTGTTTGCCTTGGTGACACAATGCTCTTTTCTGTCACGTTAGAAATTACAGTCATCTTATTAAGCGGTCCTCTGCCAAAAATGTCCACTCTTCTTTTAACATTCATAGATACCATCTTGTTGAGGCATCCATTATACATAACATTTCTAACTATGAATCTTATTAGCCTTGGCTTTGCTTCAGTAGATGCCTTTCTTTCTCATTACATTATCAAATCCTCTAAACTTCAGAACACTCATGACCTGACCTAACCACCTCCTCCTTCTCCTCTTACCTTGTCACCTCTATGCTTTCACCGTCTTTCCTGTCTTCTGCCTAGGTGGGTTCTGTCCAATGAGGTTTTGTCCAGCAGGGGTCTGTCCAACTCCCAAGGGCCAGCAGCTCTCCTGCAGTGCTCCTCAACTCTCTTGTTTTATGAGCCACCTCCACTACTACTACTACTGCTACTCTCTCTTTGCTAATACTACACTCTCTGCCATTATTCTCTTTTCCATATTTTTCTACTATTATTAATACTACTGCAACTGTCTTTTTTCTACTACTACCACTGCCACTACTCCCTCCTCCCATTCTACCACTAGATTTCCCTGCACCCTCTCGTATATATTCTGGCCTCCTTCCCTTCTAATTTTGTTGTGAGTGGTTACTGGTTCAAGTCAAAAGTGAAACATCATCATAAGTTTCTGTCTCCTGAGTGCAGGCTATTTGTATATTGCTCCAGCCAGAGCATTGTGACTTTTTTATTCCTCCGCCTTCCATGCAAGCAGTCCCCTCCAATCCCCACCTCCACACCAAATCCCCTCATCTCAACTGCTCTAACCCCTCCTGCTTTACCCCTTCCCGTGGACATCCCAAAGCCCACACCCCAACTGCTCTAATTCCTCCTTTATAAGCCCCATACAGTTGCAAAGAGTGGGACAACTAATCAATGAGGCCTATCCATCTGCTAGCAGAGAAGTGAATGTGGAAACTTTGATTGATGCACATTACTACACAACCTACAATTACATTATCATTGTTTTTCACAATTTTTAAATTAAAAAAAAAATTGGGTAACTTTTTGGGGTGTAAGGAATGTAACCTATTCTTTCAATATGTTCTTCAGTTCACTGTACAAGATTTTTTTAATTACATGCCATTTTCAGGAATGTAACTACCATGTTAACTGATGGTCAACAGTATTATAAATAATCTTAGGGTAAAACACAGGTAGTGCAGTAAGAAAAAATACTCTTACCCTTCTGACACATATCAACAAAAAATGTATAAAATGCAGCCAAAATAAAAGAATCTTACCCTTTTACGGTACTTCAATGTTCCAGCTCCTCCAACTTCTCCTCGTCCTGTCTTCTGCACTTTCACTTCACCCACCACATGGACTTCACTTGATTTCCGTTTGACCCCCCTCTGTTGAGCTTGCTGTTTCTGCTGTTGCTGTTGTGCCTGTCGCTGTTGTGCTCTTTGCTGCTGTTGCTGCTTTTGTTGTTGTTGACGCTGCTGCTGTCGCTGTAGCCGTTGCTGAGCTGCTTGTTGCTCCTGCTCTTGTTGCTGCTGGTGATACTGCTGTACGGGTCGGCGCTGCCGTTGAGGTCGTAACGGCTGCTGACGAAGTGGAAGACGAGAGGGCTGCTGCTGTGGCAGAGCCATTTCCTGTGTCTGGGTCTGTTACAGGTACAAACACAGGGTAAAATAACTACTGTAATAACACACAACAGCTAAAAGCACCAAAAACTCTCTAAAAATTTAATCCTTGAGAGATACGTGTTCTCAGGAAAGAGGAAAAAAGATCACTTTCATTAATTTGAATTCTTGATAAACTTTTCTGTATACGTGAGGTATATCCTATGTACATGCTTAAGCACAAGTTCATTTGGTAACAGTCATAAGGAATTTTATAGGATTATAACAAGTTAATTATGGTGGTATACCTGTTTTAATCTTCTTAAATATTAAAGAGAAAGACAAGATAATTTCACTGTTAAGTACACCACAGAATAACTTACTTGGAGAACCTGCTGTACCTCGCCATCATAAAGCACCTCAATACTTGGCCTTCCACTTAGTGGTTCTACAACATGAACCTCCTCTAGAATCTCTATGGAATCATCCAAAGCTGTAAAAATGTAAAAGTCATAAATATTACAAGGTTAAACAATACATTTCATTACAATAATAGCCTAAAGTAACTCTCAAAAAATTAATGAGTTAAATTAAAATTTTTGTAATGGAATTAAGATAACAGCTCCACACACACATTTTATTTTTCAAAGCCCTATACAATATCAGATGTTGCATTCTTTCCTTGCTCACACTAAAAGTGCAATATAAATGCAGTATATAGCTAAAGTGTTAAATGCAATATAAATGCAGTGTATAGCTAAAGTGTTAAATATGAAACAAACTGCTTACAGTTAATAAACATAGCAGCTTATAATATCAATTTGGGTACAATATATTCCTGAAGGTAATTAGTCACCTATAAAGATCTATGTAGCACTACAGCACTTGACAGGTCACTGACTTGACACCTATTACTACCTAGTTGCATTAATTTCAAAGGATTTAATAAAAAACTTAATTGAAGTTATCAAGGAAAAGTTCCTATCGCATTATTTTCATTAGATTAAAATTTTTGTAACTATAAGTGCCTTCAAAATACAGTGAACCATTCAATAAAGCAACACCATATATAAAGTGACTTTGTTTAACCCTTGAACTGTCCAAACGTAGATCTACGTTCACTCACGTAGCGCTCCGAACGTAGATCTACGTTTTTTTTTACATAAGAAAGCATGTAAAATTGAATGTAGGTCTACGTCAGAGTGCTTGACGAGTGAACATAGATCTACGTTTGGACAGTTTAAGGGTTAAATCAAGAGAAAAAGTGTATTATTTTTTGCAGTGCCTGAAAACACTCTGATAGTATGATCTGTAAGTGTGAAAGCATCAAGTGCAAATCTTGGTAGTCCCTGCCATGAATTTTTTTCTCCTCTAATCCAAGTATAAATGTATCAGAAGATTTTAGATCTTTTAATCACCTCTTCGCATCTCTGAATATTAACCATGGCACCAAAGAGAAATACCAGTGATTCTGGAGGTGCCAAGAAGAATAAGTGTGAAGCTTTGAAATTACTGAAGAAAAAGGAAATTTTGTATGTTACAAGATAATGCACATATGATGTAAACTGCCTACAATTATGTTCGAAGAGAGTCCACCATCCATACACCCAGAGACAATGAGAAGAAAATAAGAACCTGTATGGTGAGGAGTGCATACTGTGACATAGCAAAAGACTAAGAGGTAATTACAGCCAAATAAAGCAAAAATGTCAATGTGCTTGTAGTAAATAAAGATATTATTATTATTATTATTATTATTATTATTATTATTATTATTATTATAAAACTGTGTGAGAGAAGGAAGGTAAGCCTTCACAACACTACAGACAGATGGTTTGAAAACTTTAAAATGCTCACTCAGCTTTGTAACATAGGATTTAGTGGTGAGAGTGCATCATCTGATCACTTTGCCTCAGATTTTCCTTATGACTTAGCACAAATTATTTTTGACAGCAATTACAATCCTCACCAAGTGTTTAATGCTGATGAGATTGGACTATCTTAGATTCATATCATGTAAAGAATATATACAGGATTGCTTCACCTTGCTTCTCTGCACAAATGCATCAGGTGATTTCCAGTGCATGCCTATGCTAATTTATTGTGCAGAATCCTGGGGCTTTAAAAGATCATAACAAAATTTGTTTGCCCCTGCTGTTTGGCAGTTTAACAAGATTTGTTAATTGGTCAAGCATTATTTTATTCCTGCAGTCAAAATGTACCTGACCAGAAGTAACCCTGCATTTAAGATTCTCACTCTTGGCAATTCCTGTAGTCATCTTTAAGTCTTGCAGTCTGTAGACTGAAATGCAAGGCTGTGCTTTTACCACCCAATATGGCATGTTTGACAAAGCCACAAGATCAAGGACTTAAGACATTGTGTCACTACACAAGGTAATGAAAAAACTCAATGCAACAATGGATGACAGCTCTGAGACTGGCTTGACAGACTGTTGCTGTAAATTTAACATTATGGACTTATACAGTCACACTTGTACAGGAAAAAAAAATTGAAGTGCCTTAATCAACCATATATGCAGGCTGAGGTTAATTCTGGCCTTGTGTGGTGAATAATTTCTCTGGGTTACCCTCAAAAAAAAAAAATCAAGACCAGGATATTCACCAGGAAACTGATGACTGGAAATGATTCTGAAACATGAAGGCTTTGAAGATATGTATGAAGAAGACATAAATGAACTGTTAGAAGAGGATGATGAAGAACCTACTGCAGAAGAAATGTTGGAGTAGCTAGAGAGAGAAGATGATAAAAAAAAAGAAGGGACGAGGTTTGAACATAATTAAAACTGCTGGAGTTACATGAACAGTTCAATGTTATTGGTAAAAGTGCAGATTTTTTCACTGAAAAAGCATCATGACAGGCTAGAAAACATTGGCCAGGCTTGTAGCATGAACTGGTTTGATCAGGCATACTGCACAATACATGATTATTTTTGCTAATATTTCCTAAAATATGAATATATATACAAAAAACACTTACTTATTCTGTGGTGAACATAGGTTATGTGTATTGTAAAATGTAAACTAATGTATAAGTTCAGCCAGGTAGTAATCATAAACTATTACCTAAAAAGAAGTACATTGTGTAGATTTAACCTAGGGTAACCCAACAGTCAATTATTATTAATAATAGTCATTTGAGGAGTGTTAAACCCATAGGGGTCATACAGCTCTTGGTGGAATGAGTGGCAACTAGTTTCAACCCATGGATGGGAATGTCAGACTCCTTGGATCAAGACGGGGCCCCGTGGCCTGGCTGGCAAAGCTGTCACCTCACATGCTGAGGGTCCAGGTTCAATTCCTGGTGGGGTGGAAACATTTAGTGCATTTCCTTACACCCAGTGTCCTGTTAACCTAGCAACTAGGTACCTGGGTGTTAGTTGACTGGTGTGGGTCGCATCCTGGGGACAAGATTGAGGACCACAATGGAAATAAGACAGACAGTCCCTCGATGACCCACTAACTTTCTTGGGTTATCCCGGGTGGCTAACCCTCCGGGGTTAAAAATCCAAACAAAATCTTATGTTACCTTAACCCTTTACCAGCATGAAGGAACCTTGACTGAGGAGTCAATCAAGTTGAACAATGTGACTTATTTCCACTGGACCTCAAATATTTTTCAATATTCCACATAAAATAGACCTGAGGGAAAACAAGTACTTAGCAACTAGAATATTTTCCCAAGTTCATCATTTAACTGCCGCCTCTGAAATACTTCGTCGACTTCCTAAATAAAATTCATCTCATCAAAAACTGACGAATAATTTCGCAAAAATCAAAAATTTAAATCCTTGTTCACCATCGCTACAATATGGACGAGACTTACCATTATGGGAGCATTACCATGATAAACTCTCCTGCTGGGCCATAAACTCCCACTATATAAACAATGACATGATATTCCTAGCACAACATTAACATTTATATACGTGGCAGTAACAATATAACTTGTAACAGAGCTTCATACCCGCCAAAACAACACACTTCTCCTCCCACTTATATTCCCAATATATCCCTCAGATACATAGAAATATTATATATGCTTCTTCTATTCGAGCTGAGGCCTTTAATAGGTGTATCACATTAATAAGGAGGAGTCTCTGTGAATTAAATAGACGAAATATATGTGTATATAGCTACCGTTATTTGTTGACATTTTAGCCATCGTGTTTAGACGTTAAGTAATCTTCACAATATTTAAGGTGAGGATATAAGTACAAGTTGGCCGGGACTTTATACTCAAATATTATTTATACTTCAAAAATGTATATAAGATATTCTAAACAATATTTCTGTAATATAACATTAGTTTAAACTATGGTAATCACGGCTTGTAAAGTGACTTGAAAAATCTCTCTCAAGTGGCGCAAATTTTCAAACTTCAATCATAGATTGATCATATTTTTCAATCGTTCTCCCCTGTAAAACTCAATTCATATATATATATATATATATATAAAATATATATATATATATATATATATATATATATATATAATATATATATATATATATATATATATATAATATTTTATATATATATATATATATATATATATATATATATATATATATATATATATATATATATTATAAATATATATAAAAAATATATATATATATATATATTATATATATATATATATATATATATATAAAAAATATATATATATATATATATATATATATATATATATATATATATATATAAATATACGTATATATAAATATGTTTTACATGATGGTAGGATTGCTGGTGTCTTTTTCTGTCTCATAAACACGCTAAGAGGGATTACCAACAGACCCCTGGCAGTCTTCAAGCTGGCACTGGACAAGCACCTAAAGTCAGTTCCTGATCAGCCCGGCTGTGGCTCGTACGTTGGTTTGCGTACAGCCAGCAGCAACAGCCTGGTTGATCAGGCTCTGATCCACCAGGAGGCCTGGTCACAGACCGGGCCGCGGGGGCGTTGACCCCCGGAACTCTCTCCAGGTAAACTCCAGATAACAGGGATATCTTGCTACTCCTACTTACACTTTGGTCACACTTCACAGACACGCACATGCATATATATATATACATACATCTAGGTTTTTCTCCCTTTTCTAAATAGCTCTTGTTCTTCTTTATTTCTTCTATTGTCCATGGGGAAGTGGAAAAGAATCTTTCCTCCGTAAGCCATGCGTGTCGTATGAGGCGACTAAAATGCCGGGAACAATGGGCTAGTAACCCTTTCTCCTGTAGACATTTACTAAAAAAGAGAAGAAGAAAAACTTTATAAAACTGGGTTGCTTGAATGTGCGTGGATGTAGTGCGGATGACAAGAAACAGATGATTGCTGATGTTATGAATGAAAAGAAGTTGGATGTTCTGGCCCTAAGCGAAACAAAGCTGAAGGGGTAGGAGAGTTTCGGTGGGGGGAAATAAATGGATTAAATCTGGAGTACTGAGAGAGTTAGAGCTAAGGTAGGGGTAGCAATAATGTTGAAGGATCAGTTATGGAAGGGGAAAAGAAAATATGAAATTGTAATTCAAGGATTATGTGGATTAAAGTAAAGGTTGGATGCGAAAGGGTGGGGCATAATAAGCTGTATGCACCGGAAAAGAGAGGAATTTGGGGAGAGAGAGAGACTTGGGAGATGTTAAGTGAATGTATAGAACCTGTGGAAAGGGGACCGATGATAAGTAGGAGAAACTTTTAGAGAGGGTGTGGTAGGTAAGTTTGGGGTACCAGGTGTAAATGATAATGGGAGCCCTTTGATTGAACTTTGTATAGAAAGGGGTTTAGTTATAGGTAATACATATTTTAAGAAAGAGGGGATAAATAAGTATACAAGATATGATGTAGGGCAAAATGACAGCAGTTTGTTGGATTATGTATTTATTTATTTATTTATTTTATTAAGTAATTTAAGCATACATACAGAGGTACAAAAAATACAGGTAAGAGACTGTTGAGTAGACTTCAGGATGTACATGTTTATAGAGAGCCCACAGATACATCAGATCACTTTTTAGTTGTAGCTACACTGAGAGTAAAAGGTAGATGGGATACAAGGAGAATAGAAGCATCAGGGAAGAGAGAGGTGAAGGTTTATAAACTAAAAGAGGAGGCAGTTAGGGTAAGACATAAACAGATATTGGAGGATAGATGGGCTAATGAGAGCATAGGCAATGGGGTTGAAGAGGTATGGGGTAGGTTTAAAAATGTAATGTTAGAGTGTTCAGCAGAAGTTTGTGGTTACAGGAAAGTGGGTGCGGAGGGAAGAGGAGCGATTGGGGGAATGATGATGTAAAGAAGTAGTAAGGGAGAAAAAATTAGCATATGAGAAGTTTTTACAAAGTAGAAGTGATCAAGGAGGGAAGAGTATATGGAGAAAAAGAGAGAGGTTAAGAGAGTGGTGAAGCAATGTAAAAAGAGAGCAAATGAGAGAGTGGGTGAGATGTTATCAACAAATTTTGTTGAAAATAAGAAAAAGTTTTGGAGTGAGATTAACAAGTTAAGGAAGCCTAGAGAACAAATGGATTTGTCAGTTAAAAATAGGAGAGGAGAGTTATTAAATGGAGAGTTAGAGGTATTGGGAAGATGGAGGGAATATTTTGAGGAATTGTTAAATGTTGATGAAGATAGGGAAGCTGTAATTTCATGTATAGGGCAAGGAGGAATAACAGGATAGGATAGGATTTTTAACCCCGGAGGGTTAACCACCCAGGATAACCCAAGAAAGTCAGTGCGTCATCGAGGACTGTCTAACTTATTTCCATTGGAGCCCTTAATCTTGTCCCCCAGGATGCGACCCACACCAGTCGACTAACACCCAGGTACCTATTTGCTGCTAGGTAAACAGGACAACAGGTGTAAGGAAACGTGTCGAAATGTTTCCACCCGCAGGAATCGAACCCGGGTCCTCCGTGTGTGAAGCGGGAGCTTTAGCCACCAGGCCACCACATCTTGTAGGAGTGAGGAAGAGCCAGTTGTGAGTGTGGGGGAAGCTCGTGAGGCAGTAGGTAGAATGAAAGGGGGTAAGGCAGCTGGGATTGATGGGATAAAGATAGAAATGTTAAAAGCAGGTGGGGATATAGTTTTGGTGTGGTTGGTGCTATTGTTTAATTGGTGTATGGAAGAGGGTAAGGTACCTAGGGATTGGCATGCATAGTTCAATTCAATTCAATTCAAAGTTTATTCTCTATAAGGATTACAATGCTGAGTTTACAGAATTTGGTTATTGTGTGGTTTACATGTAGTAAAATAATAATTACAGAGTGTACCACTAGAACACCTAGCATGGCTAGGCATTTCGGGCAGACTTAAATTAAATCTTAAGTTTAAAATATTACAAAATTATGAGGTAAGTTGGTATTATGGCTAAGTGATTCTAAACTTCGTACACTGAAACGTACTGCTCACAGACTAGGCCTAGCCTATAGAAAACATCGTACCCCTGGAATGCTGAGGCTCTTCCAAACTGCCCTTGCTGCTGCCAGAGAGCGTATGACAGAGCTGCGGTAAACAGACTGGGAAAAATTTGTCAACGTCTTAATGCTCACACCCCACTTAGCCGGGCATGGAGGGACATAAATAAAATTAAGGGTAACAGAACTGGGCTGATCGCGCACCCTCATCCCTTGCATAGGGCGAATGAGTTAGTCAGTGCTTGGGCTGCTACATCTAGCTATGACAATCTTCCCAGTACCACACAGGCAAAATTAAATGACAAATATGATGCAAGGGAGAGACTTGTTTGCTTATGCTCGGCAAGGCAGATGACTGCAACATTCCTTTCACTAATTATGAACTTGATGCAGCACTAACTAAGGGCAACTCCACGTCGCCTGGTTGAGGATGGTATTACTTACAACATACGCAGATTGCTGTGTCGAGTACCAGGTAATCCATTAAATTGAATTATATAACATGAGCTATTAACTGGGGGGCTCCCTCAATCTTGAACCAACAGCCTCATCATTCCAATTCCTAAGCCCAATCAACAAAATGCATTTCGCCCAATATCTCTTACTAGCTGCTTGGTAAAACATTTGAGA